AAGTTTAGGACAGGCATGTTTCCAATGGCCTTTCTGATGACAGAAGCTACACTCATCCATGGAAACCTGAGGCTTGGGCTTACCAGTAACCTGAAATAAAGGAGGTGGGGTGGGCAAGAGCGGAGGAGTGGCAAAAACTAACTGGGAAGCAGCAGGAGCACCATGAGTCACCTTAAACCAAGTTTCTTCCGCAATAAACTCATGAACAGCATCATCCACAGAAGGCAAGGGAGACCAATGAAGAATAGCTCCCCGAAGTGGCTCAAATTGATCATGAAAGGCCATAAGAAATTGAACAAGATGTTGTTTCTCCCGATACTTGGTATAACTGTCAAGTAACTACAAATGTAACGGTTCTAGCAAAGCAAGTTGATCCTAATAAGTAGTCATCTCATTGTAGAACTCCTAAATGGACTTATCTTTCTGACTAGCACTGCGAATAGACATCTCAAGTTCATACTGTTTTGCAAAGTTAGACTCAAGGTACATAGTTTTCAAATAGTCCCAACTTGTTTAGAAGCAGAATACTTGGAAAAATTCATACCAATGGTAGTTTGAACTGAATTATGAAACCATGTAAGAATTTGTGCATTTTCCTTATCCCATTTAGCAACATCGGCTTCAGTTTTTTGAGATTCTGTAAGTCTAATAGTCACACCAATCACATAGTTCCACATGCCTTTACCCATTATAAAATTTTTCAAGACATGAGAACAATATGAGTAATTGGTACCATCTAACTTAGTGGTGATAACTTGCAATTTATCATCAGCCATAGTCCCATAATTAAGCAACACGGTAAAACCAAAACAGAGGACTAACCAAAGTTGCAATTGCTATAATTACAAAACCAATTAGGTCAAACTTATAATAACCGTATCACCACAAATATCAATCAGAGAGAACTAAGGCAGAGCAGAGAGACCATAAATATCAATCAGAGAGAACCAAGGCAGAGCAGAGAGAGAGAGAGAGAGAGAGAACCTAATACCAGAAGTCGATACTTTCATTGTGTGAACTAGAGGAAGACACAGCGAGATCAACAATCTGAGTCACACAGAGGAATTACAGAGCTTCGATCGAACTAGATGAGGGGTCGAAACAAGTTGAAGAGCACTAGGTTGTGTGAGACATGCAACCTAGGGCTCCGATGCAACCTAGAGACCAGAACCAGTAACCAGGAAGAGTGTAGTGCTTTGAAGTGCAACGAAGAGAACAGTGAACACAGAGAACCCCAACGAAGGCCTTACAAAGAGAGAAAGGGGCTACGATGGTCGATGATGACCTGCGAAAGGTATGCTAACAGCTTCGTCATGGCTCTAATACCATGATAACAAACTTGTATATTGATTAATTGAATCATCAATCAAATGAGTACAAATATATAATTTAATAGAATCAAACCATAGAACCTAAAGGACTAAACTATCCTCAATGAATAATATAAACTACAATAATTCACAAGGGCCTAGGTCATAAGGCCTTAGTCCAAGGCACACAAAAGCCTAAAAAAGAATCCATAATCATACACTGAATAATGCAATTATAGCCTAATGTCATAAACAAACCAATACTCATTCCAATGACAAGTCAAAATAATAAATGGGCAGAACTAGCCGTAACAAACTCCATAAATATATCTAGTGGGACACAACCAACCCGTGCAATAAAACAATTCTATATAATACTAAACCAAAATGTATATGCACAATAATTGACATAAACTAGCTAAAAAATATATATCTTAGAGTCCCATCCCAAGTCCTCTCACCTGAAAATGTTAAACAACTAAATAGGGTTCAATTTCAAAATAAGAAGCATAGGACAAAAACTAGTTTGGAACACAGTTTTGATAAAACATTATGTTGAAAGAATTGAGTTCTATAGTTCAAAAATTAAAACCTCACAGTGTCTTAGAAAAAGCATTTGATGGGACCCCATTTGATGGGACTTAAGGCTTGGTTTAGTTTGGTTAGTGTCTTAGAAAAAGCATAACAAGTACATGTCTCCACTTAAAATAACAATTGCACAATCTTTCTCGTAATCTGGCTACCAAATAATAACAATAACACATGCCACAAAGTTCTCAAGGCAACAAAGCCATATGGATCCAATATTGAACAAAGAGTCATTCTTGGGATGTTGACTTGGGCCTTTCCTCTAAGACGATCCGATTGAAGGTCACCCAGCCTAACCTATGTTTGTTCTTTGCAATTTTTGAGCACTAGAGTCATCGTAGCCTAACTCGGATTTATTCCTTAGTGGCTAGAGTCACCACACGCAGTGAAATAAGTTCCTTGGGCTTTTCACATATGGTCCTCACATAATAAGAATGATTCAATCTCGTACAACAAGATAGTTTACTATTACAAGCATGAGCCCATAACAAATGGTTTATATATGCCAAGTTTACACGTGTTCTAGAATGGCTCAGTTTCAGTGATGTAATAATAAATTTACCAAAGTAGTTTAGTCACGAAATGATAGTTCACTTTTGAGGGTAGGGAACATTATAAAAATACATAGCATGCAACTACTCACCTAACAAGGGAACTGTAATAACCCGACCCTCGTATGTGATTCTGATATATTCTCAATCGCTTATTCTGTGCTTTCAAATGCTTACTGCGAAATTTTATGAGGAATTAAGGTTAATTAAGTGAATCCTACGATTATGGATTTATATCTGTTTATCAAGGAAAACATCTGTCCTAATTAAAATGTTTGTGTCAGAAATTGAGAGCCTTAGAGGCTTCATAATCTGAAATTGATCTCCCATTTGAGATCAGCATGATTTTTAAGTCATAATAGAATTTTCGGTGAAATTTCAATTTGGAATGATTAAACTGATTAATTTTTGTCCTATTCACCTTTTATATATAAATGTGTTCCTTACAACTTTGACTTGGGAGCTTCATTTAAAAAAATCTCCTGAGAGAGAAGGTTGGATTAGAGAAGGGTTTGGGAGGTAGGGGAAGAAGATCATCAAGGCAAGTTTGGAATTTGAGAGATTTTAAAGCTCAAGGTATGGAGGTTTTGCTTTAGTTAACTCCTCTCTTGTGTATGAGTGAGGAATTTCTTCGGTATTCATGCAAGTTAAGACTTGTGTTGCTGTGTGTATATGTCACTCAAAGAATTGAATAAGTGTTTTCATCATGTTGTTGCTTGTGTTAATTTGAACCATGTAAAGGAAATTACATTTCATTCCTTCATGACATGCTTGAACTAAAATATATGAACATGGCCATGTGTGTGTATATGTTATGTGGGTGCGAAGTTAGCAATCTCATGAATTGAGTTACGTTTAAAGGTTTCAAGATCAAGAATCTAGTTTCTATCTAGGTGGATATGTGGTTGTAAATTTTATTAACATGGTTGTCGAACCTATTTGAAGTCATGTAAAAACTTACCAAAAGGTTAGGTTTTATATGAAATTCCGGACAGAATTTGGCCAAATTGCCGCACGTGCGGGAGTCATGGCCGCACGTGCGAGGAAGGGAGGAATATTGGGTTTTGGTTACTGCTAGAAAAGCACGTGTGGGCCTTCCCAGCCGCACGTGCGGGACCAACCGCTGCACGTGCGGGGGTCACAGCCGCACGTGCAGCCCATGCTGAGAAAAATAGTTTGCTCTGTTTTATGTGCTTAACCCTCTAGTATTTTTGAAAATTGTATTTGATACCTTTTTGATACTGGCAAATTCATTCGAAGCAAAGTGAGTCCGAAAATGACATAACAAGGAAAGAAACTAAATTGTGAGCTGTGTATGAGTGCAGGACATACTCCGGGAGGGACTATCGCTCCATCACAACACTGTGAGTAATAGTACTGTAGTAGTACGCGTTACTTATCGCTAATAGTTACTATTGGCATTCTGTTAATTGCATATCAACTATGTTAACTGGTGAACGACTCAAAGGATATGTGAACTTCCATACAACTCTAGAACTCTGAATGACATTGAAACTATTATGCTCCAATGATATCTGGGCCTCTGATCAATCTGTGAACTCTGTTAGGCCTTTGGCCAATCTGTGAAATATGTCCGACCTAAGGCCGTTCTGTATATCTCTGGGCATAATGCCACTCTGTTCAATCTGGGCTTAACGCCACTCTGTTTAATCTGGGCTTGAAGCCACTCTGTTTAAAGACTGGGCCCAAGGCCGTTTTGGAAATAATTACAGCATCGGATTAATTACATGTCTTTTGCATTTACATACACATTGATGTGCATTATACTTCAAGTTGTTCATTGACTTATTTAAGTGCTATTATTCACTGAGATTGTCTCACTCTATATTTTGTCTGGTTCTGTAGGTAATAAATCTGGAGGTCAGCCTTAACCCCAATGCTCGTCTCTCTTTTGTCAACCTCTGTGTGTCCAGGTATTTGGATGAAGCCTGTCCATTTTTGTGGAGTTTTGCTAAGTTTTTGGCCTGTACTATGATTGTCTATAATATGTTGAAGTTTCCAATGTTCTTATTATACGCCCAAATAAGGGGCGGGGTTTGTATATGTGCATGTAAATATTTTCTATCTGATGTTCTATTTGTGGTCCTAGCATGATAGTGGTCACTCAATGGATGTAGATTCTTTTTATTTCATGTTATTTTATAATATTTAATGCTTCCGTTCAGGCCCCATATGTTATGTATAACAGGTTAAGTGTCCATTTCTAAAAAGGGCATGCCCAAACTTTTAGGGGCAAGTTTGGGGCGTGACAAGTGGTATCAGAGCACGAGTTGCTATCTCACACACGAATCCATTGAGCCTTATGATGATTAGAAAATACTTTGGCATCGTGCATTGCATTTTGAAAGTATGTGAAAGGTTGATGGCAACATTAAATGTATTCTGTTAATGCTAACGGTTTTGCATCATACCTATTGTATATCTCATGTGTATGTTGTAATTGTTTATCACGTAGAATATGGTGAGAACAAGAACAGAAGACCTAGAAGATGCTACTTCTGCACGGTTGGACAGGATGGAATGAATGATCATGGGAATGGCAGAGACCTTACGGCAACAACAACAACAGCAACAGCCACAACCGCCACCGTCACCGCCACTGGTACCTCCACCTGTGATACAAGATTTTCAAGCTGAGGACCGAACCATTACACTTACAAAGGAGTTTAAAAAGATGAAACCACCATCATTCAAAGGAGGAATAGAACCGATGAAAGCTAAGGCTTGGGCGTTGGGAATAGAAAAGTTGTTCGAAGTTTTCCCTTGTACCGAAGCCCAAAAGGTGCAACTTGCTGCCTTCACTCTCGAAGATGAAACACGGAGGTGGTGGATGCTTACGAGAACTATGCACCCAGGATTAACATGGGACAGATTCCTAGAACTGTTTTATGACAAGTATTTTCCTCAAAGTATGCGAGATAAGAAGGTGACAGAATTTGAAACTCTCAGGCAAGGGAACAAGACCGTAGCAGAGTATGAGGCCCAATTTGCAGAACTAGCCCGGTTTGTACCTCATATGGTGGATATGGATTATAAGAAGGCACGAAAATTTGAAGGGGGATTACGGAGTGCTATCCTGGACAAAGTCAACATGTTAAAGTTACCAACCTATGTTGATGTGTTGGAGAGGGCTGTTATAGCAGAGGGAAACCGTGCTGCTCAGAGTCGGATTTCTGAATGGAAAGGAAAGAGGCAAAATAATCAATTATCAAGGGGGCCAACTACTCCACCTAGCAAGAGACAAAACTTAGGGACTTCCAGTGTTTTTACCCTTCCACCAGACTCAATTCCTGTTTGTTCAGAATGTGGAAAGAAACATCGTGGAACGTGATATCGAAAGTCTGGAGCCTGTTTTAGGTGTGGAAAAACGGGTCATTTGGTAAGGGATTGCCCTCAGTATAATCAACAAGATGGCAATAGGGCTGCTACCAGTTCAGCGGGGTCTACACCAACTTCCAGTACCAAGCCAGCTGCCAAATCTACTAACAACAAAGACACTGCAAGACAAGGCAGGGTGTTTGCATTGGTCCCAGGAGATGTGCAAAACACGACAACAGTGGTGTCAGGTACATTTATTGTTCACGGTCATTCTGCTCATGTATTGTTTGATTCTGGCTCTACCCACTCCTTTGTGTCGAAACTATTTGCTCCCAATTTAGATAAATCTGAAGAAGTATTATCTTATATGCTATGTGTGTCCTCACCCTTGGGGGATTCTATGATCTGTACCTCTGTATATTACGCTTGTGAACTTCTAATTGGGGATGTCCGGGTATATGAGAATCTATTACCTCTTGAAGAGACCTATTTTGATATTATTATGGGTATGGACTGGTTGAGTGAATATGGTCAAACTATAGACTGTTTGACTAAACAAATCAATTTCCACCCTCCGGGACAATCAGAATCTACTCTTCAGGGACAGGGAGTGACTTCCCCACCTTATTTGATTTCTGCAACAAAGGCTTGTAAATTAATTCAGAAAGGGTGTCAGGGGTATTTATGCTGTGCTTTGGAGGGACAAGTAATGAATGGGGGTACTGATATGATTCCGGTTGCCTGCGAGTTTTTGGATATTTTTCCAGAGAAATTATCGGGGGAGTTAGTGGATCGTGAATTTACCATTGAAGTGATACCGAAAACCTAACCTATTTCTAAGACCCCGTATAGAATGTCACCAGCTGAAATGATGGAATTAAAGATTTAGCTGCAAGATTTACTTGATAAGGGGTTCATTCGCCCGAGTGTGTCTCGTTGGGGTGCACCAGTTCTGTTTGTGAAAAAGAAGGATGGAACACTCCGACTTTGTATCGATTATAGGGAACTCAATAAGGTAACGATCAAGAATAAGTACCCTTTGCCACGGATTGATGATTTGTTTGATCAGGTACAAGGAGCACATGTCTTTTCTAAAATTAATCTACGGTCCGGATACCACTAATTGAAGGTCAAAGCTAATGATGTTGAGAAGATTGCTTTCCAAACTCGATACGGTCATTATGAATTTCTGGTTATGCCCTTCGGAGTTACTAACGCACCAGCAACATTTATGGATTTGATGAATCGTGTCTTTAAGCCTCATCTGGATGCATTTGTGGTGGTCTTTATTGACGATATTGTCATTTACTCGAAGAATGCAAAAACTCACGAGAATCATCTTCGCTTAATTCTTCAAACACTTCGGGAAAAGAAACTGTATGCAAAGCTGAAGAAATGTGAATTCTGGCTACAAGAGGTGGCATTTCTAGGGATGTTATAACAAAGGAAGGAGTCTCTGTTCATCCACACAAAATTGAGGCGATCTTGAATTGGCCAACTCCTACTAATGTGACTGAGGTACGTAGTTTTATGGGATTAGTCGGATATTACAGGAGGTTTGTTCAAGATTTTTCCAAAATCGCTATGCCACTTACACAATTGACTAAAAAGGGAGTTGCATTTGAATGATCAGAACGGCGAGAATCTGCTTTCCAAGAATTGAAAACGAAGTTAACTACAGCTCCGGTTCTTGCGTTACCATCTGGTACGGAGGGATTTGTGATTTACAATGATGCTTCCCATAAAGGATTAGGGTGTGTGCTTACTCAAAGTGGAAGGGTTATCGCTTATGCTTCACGCCAACTTAAACCCCATGAAAAGAATTATTCCACACATGATCTTGAGCTAGCAGCAGTAGTTTTTGCTTTGAAAATATGGTATGGCACTACTTGCGAAGTTTATAAAGATCACAAAAGTCTCAAGCACCTTTTTACTTAGAAAGAGTTGAATAAGTGTTAACGACTGTGGTTAGAGCTGATTAAAGACTATGATTTACAGATCCATTACCATCCCGGTAAAGCCAATACAGTTGCAGATGCACTTAGTCGGAAAAATATGGGATATTTGGCGAATCTCTTTACGGAGCAAAAAGAGTTGGTGATCGAATTGGATAGAATGAACGTAGAGCTTGTGATGCATGGATCGAAGGCCGTAATAGCAGCAGTAATGACCCAATCGACCTTACTTGAGGAGATCAGACTACATCAAATGGAAGATGAAATTCTAAAGAAGATATGTGATGAATTAGAGACAAAACCAAAACCGGGGTTTAGCTTGGTGAATTCAGTACTCAAATTTCAAAACCAAATGTGTCCAAAATGTATTGGAACTGAAGCGAAAATTGATGGAAGAAGCACATACCTCGAAATTTTCAATGCATCCGGGAAGTACTAAAATGTATCGGGATTTGAAACAAAATTTTTGGTGGCCGGGTATGAAAAAGGAAATCGCAGAGCTCGTTTCTAAGTGTTTACAATGTCAGCAAGTAAAGGCAGAGCATCAGAGACCAGCAGGATTGTTGCAACCCCTTCCAATCCCGTAATGGAAGTGGGAACATCTTACCATGGATTTTGTGGTACGGTTACCACGGACTCCTCGGGGTATGAATTTTGTATGGGTTATTGGGGACCGATTAACTAAGTCCGCTCATTTCCTAATACAGATAAACTTGTTGTGATCTACATAAATGAAATTGTAAGACTCCATGGTGTTCCAGTCTCAATTGTATCAAACGGGGATCCAAAATTTGTTTCAAGATTCTGGCAAAGCCTACAGGAAGCACTGGGTACAGAATTGAAGTTTAGCATAGCCTTTCACCCTCAAACAGACGGACAATCCGAGAGAACGATACAGACATTAGAGGATATGCTCCGAATGTGCGTATTGGATTTTCAGGAAAGTTGGGAAACCCATCTGCCGTTGGTAGAGTTTGCATATAATAATAGTTACCATTCGAGTATTGCAATGGCACCCTATGAGGCTCTGTATGGAAGACTGTGTCATTCTCTCGTGTGTTGGGCCGAGATCGGAGATAGATCATTGCTAGGGCCCGAAATTGTTCAGTTGACGATTGAAAAGGTTAAAATTATTCGGGAAAGATTGAAAACTGCTCAAAGTAGACAGAAGAGTTATGCGGATAACCGACGAAGGAATTTGGAATTTGAAGTGGATAGTCATGTGTTCGTGAAAGTCACCCCAATGAAAGGACATCCGAGATTCAGAAAAAGGGGTAAGTTAACACCCCGATATGTTGGTCCCTTTCAAATTTTGGAAAGAATGGGCCCGGTAACTTACCGAGTTGCTCTTCTGCCAAGTATGAGCCAAGTGCATAACGTGTTTCATGTTTCTATGCTTTGAGGATACCTTCTGGATCCGTCTCATATCATTGATTATCACCAGATTGTTCTAGACGATAAGCTAGAGTACGAAGAAAAGCCAATTTGAATTCTGGACCGACAAGTGAAACAATTACGAAATCGAGAAATCCCGATGGAAAAGTTGAATGGCAAGAGCATTACGGAACCAAAGCTACTTGGGAGAAAGATGAGGAAATGCAACACCAATATCCGCATCTGTTTCCGTTTTGAGGTAAAACAAGTTTAAGGGACCAAACTTATTTAAGGGGGGGAGAGTGTAATAACCCGACCCTCGTATGTGATTTTGATATATTCTCAATCCCTTATTCTGTGCTTTCAAATGCTTACTGCGAAATTTTATGAGGAATTAAGGTTAATTAAGTGAATCCTACAATTATGGATTTATATCTGTTTATCAAGGAACACATCTACCATGATTAAAATGTTTGGGTCAGAAATTGAGAGCTTTAGAGGCTTCATAATCTGAAATTGATCTCGCATTTGAGGTCAGCATGATTTTTAAGTCATAATAGGATTTTCGGTGAAATTTCAATTTGGAATGATTAAACTGATTAATTTTGGTCCTATTCACCTTTTATAATTAAATGTGTTCCTTACAACTTTGACTTTGGAGCTTCATTTAAAAATATCTCCTGAGAGAGAAGGTTGGATTAGAGAAGGGTTTGGGAGGTAGGGGAAGAAGATCATCAAGGAAGGTTGGGAATTTGAGAGATTTTAAAGCTCATGGTATGGAGGTTTTTCTTTAGTTAACTCCTCTCTTGTGTATGAGTGAGGAATTTCTTCGGTATTCATGCAAGTTAAGACTTGTGTTGATGTGTGTATATGTCACTCAAAGAATTGAATAAGTGTTTTCATCATGTTGTTGCTTGTGTTAATTTGAACCATGTAAAGGAAATTACATTCCATTCCTTCATGACATGCTTGAACTCGAATATATGAACATGGCCATGTGTGTGTATATGTTATGTGGGTGCGAAGTTAGCAATCTCATGAATTGAGTTACGTTTAAAGGTTTCAAGATCAAGAATCTAGTTTCTATCTAGGTGGATATGTGGTTGTAAATTTTATTAACATGGTTGTTGAACCTATTTGAAGCCATGTAAAAACTTACCAAAAGGTTGGGTTTTGTATGAAATTTCGGACAGAATTTGGCCAAATCGCCTCATGTGTGGGAGTCATGGCCACACGTGCGGGGAATGGAGGAATATTGGGTATTGGTTACTGCTAGAAAAGCACGTGCGGGCCTTCCCAGCCGCACGTGTGGGACCAACCGCAGCACGTGCGGGGCTCACAGCCACACGTGCGGCCCATGCTGAGAAAAATAGTTTGCTCCGTTTTACGTACTTAACCCTCTGGTATTTTTGAAAATTATATTTGATACCTTTTTGATACTGGAAAATTCATTCGAAGCAAAGTGAGTCCAGAAATGACGTAACAAGGAAAGAAACTAAATTGTGAGCTGTGTATGTGTACAGGACACACTCCGGGAGGGACTATCGCTCCACCACAACACTGTGAGTAATAGTATTGTAGTAGTACGCGTTACTTATCGCTAATAGTTACAATTGGGATTATGTTAATTGTATATCAACTATGTTAACTGGTGAACGACTCAAAGGATGTGTGAACTTCCATA